GGACATTCCTGAGAAAGCTTTGTCGCGAGGAAGATGAAATTTTCAATATTATTTTGTCTGAATTTTATCTAGAAATAATATTGATATATTATTAAGATTTGGCACTATTTTATGCTTAAATATAATATCCACAACAATTTTTTTAAATCCATTGATCTATTACTTGCCTGTTTAATAGTATTAAATTTCTAATATATTTGTAAATTTAACAAATCTATATTTTTTTAAACCTTTCAACTATATTTTATTTTTTCAATTAATAATTAGTATAAGATATATTAATCGACTAATTCAGATCAGATACTGCAGAGGAGATCCTCCCAACCCAGTTTGTTCCATTCACAAACGTCAGAGTTCAAACCATTAACATTACTTAAGAGACCTAATGCCTCTTCTTACTAGACCAATTAGTTGTTGGTCTACTATATTTTATTAAATCTTAATTATACATATTCATGATGTCTTTACTTCATTATAGTCATGGGCATATTACACATTTAGTACTGAACTATTATTTTTGGTTCATTTTAGTACCTAAATTTTTATTTTTTTTTTTAAATCATACCTAAAGTTTAGTTTTTATTTTATTTTAGTACTCCACTGTTAAAAATTTAACAAGTTTAATACTTAAACTATTAGTTTTGGTCCATTTTAATACCTAAACTTTTAATTTTTTTCACAAATTAACGTTACATTTTGAACAAAAGCACTAAAATAAAATAAAAAAAAACTTTATGTAGAGTTTTAAAATTTTAAAGTTTAAGTACTAAAAATACTAAATTAAATAGTTTAAATACTAAACATGTAATTTACCTTGTAATCATTTACATAGTAAATGAAATTCAATTTTTCAACTTAAAACAAATTAAAAGCAGAAATATTAAAGTTCAAATGTGCATAAAATTAAACATTTAAAGCATGTTTAAACCCAATTGCACAAACCAAATCAACATAGTGCTTAAGGCATTGTTTTCATCATTTGAAATATAAAATTGAGCATTCCATATACAAAAAAAATATATAAAGATTTATTATCAAATGATCAAAAATCTTCTAACAAATAATACATTCTAATTAAAAAAAACCCAAATAAAGCATGCATGGTTCATTGGGCCCATTTCATATTGTTGGTTATTTTATGGAACATTGCTTCGGCCGAGTTTTAAAGTCTGCAATCCGTCATAACTTTGATGACACTTTTGACTTGATTCAAATATACCAGGATGGACCGAGGGGACAATATCTCTTAAAAATTTAAAATTATCATATATTTTAAATTTTTTATGTGTTTTCTATTAAAAATCTGTTTTGCCCCTAGAATTTTAGTTCAACATCCTGTAATTTTAGTTCATCCCATGAGTTTAAGTTGCCCCACTAAACATAAAATCCTTTATCTGTTCTTGAGTGACTTCCGTAGTAAAAGAATTATTATTATTCCTAATTAATTAGCTGACCCTATTCCCATATGTACTGGGATAAGGGGGAGGTAGGGTAATAGACTGCCTCCAACGCCAGGTTGAGAACAACTTCCGTGAAAGAGCTCCGTTATGAATTGCCCTCAATGAGACTCAATCTCACGACCACAAGGTTAAGAGCCTTGTGCTCTACCAGCTGAGCTAGACAAGCAATTCAATTATTGTTATTCCTAATGACCCAAATTCAATCACCATAATTGTCAAGGGTGTGAACAATTAATGTTGAAAGGTAGAGAGTTTATCTTTAAACTGATATTGTTTTTATCGCAGATTAATAAAAAACCATACGAAATCCTTATCCAAGATAAAATTATGTATTTTTAATATAAATATCGTAATCCAGGCAAAATCAATGGATTGCTAGATAAGATAGTAAGTTGATTATTAGATAATTATTGTACTTAAAATAAAAAGTTATTGAAATCTCTCAATAATTGGCATTCAATTAATTGGTCAACTAGTCCCAACTTGTGGATTAGGTATCTGACTTCTAATGCACAAGACTCGTGATAACATGTATTAAAATAAAGGTCAAATTCTATCACTAGTTCTTATATTATATATAAATTATAGATTTAGTTAAATTTAATTTTTATATTTCTAAAATCTTAAAATTTTAGTCATGCCCGAAATATTAACTAGACAATCAAGTAAATTATACGTAATTACGGGCTTAATAGGACTGAAATTTCAAGATTTGAGAAGTTTAGGGATAAAACTGATCAAATTATAATGCAAAGACTAAAGTTCACAACTTTGGCATAATATAGGGACAAATATAGAATAGTTTCACCTAAGATCACCTAACCAGTTCCTTTTGCATTTACTGCCTTTGTTTTTTGGATAGGATTTATTGTAAAATAAGATATTAAATTAATTCGTTTTCACCGATGTATAAATTATTTTTTTGAATGATTTAGTTATTTAACATTGCAAATGTAATTATTTTATGTACCTGGTCTATTAATGAAGTTAATTTTCTCTGTTAAACAACACATGTCACAATCTAATAATTTTAAAAATTTTATTTAAAAATTTAAAAATTTAAAAATTAAATATATGCATTAAAAAACAAAAAATTGAAATAACCTCAAAACTTTGAAAATATTCATTTTAAACCTTAAACTCATGCCGGCCACCACCCTTTGTCGTCGATGAAGCTCTACCCGACCTCACCCTTGGCTACCAAAAATCATATAAAATCGTGCCCGATCGACGATGAATCAATGTTTTATATCCTACAAACCCTGGGATGAAAAAAGCGATCTCACATGATTCCAACGACCAATCGATAACAACTACGGTGACATATGACTAGGGAGATAACAAGGATTACGTTGACGATTGGGAACATTGTTGGAAAGGACGGCGTAAGTAAGTTAGGGTTAGTATTTAGGGATTTTAGAGGTTTTGTTTTTTTATTTAAGATAAATTAATATTTTTTTTATAAAAATAATAATATTTTTAATATTTTATTTAAAAAATAAATTTTAAAATTACTAGATTGTGACACATATTATTTAACGGAGGAGATTAATGTCATTAAAGGCCCAAACAATTGAAGTGATAAAAAATAATTTAAATATCTATCGTAAAAACGCTATAATTTGGGTTATTATTTTATATTTAAGCCTTTTGGATAATATTGCTAATATAGTGACTGTGAGTCAGACCATAAGATTAATAATTATAGTTTTGTTTTCTTTTTTAGTGAAACCGAATTTATTTTTTAAAGGCAAAGGGAAATGGTTGAAGAAAGCAATTGAAATTAAATATTATTGAAATTAAATATTATTAAAATTAAATATAACTAAAGAAGGTATTATCTTAGGACGCTAACGTCTGGAATGCTGTCCCTGTGGGTTTTGGTTGTCGTGGACCACGTGCATGTGTTCCACGTTTTTTTGTAATTTATTTATTTACTTATAGTTACCACTAAATTTTTGGAGTCACATATAAAAGAAAATATCACCTTTGTTTGTTTCTTCTTATTGTATTTCCTCTCTCACATCTTAGAAAGATATACACATTAGCCTTGTCAGAGTTTTACTAATTTTTTATTTTTGGGTAAACTACGCATTTAATATCCAAACTATCATTTTTATTTTGTTCAGTATCTAAACTTTTAATTTTTCAAAATCATATTTAATGTTTAGTTTTTATTTCATTTTAGAACCCGTTGTTAAAAACTTAATGCATTTAATACCTAAACTATCAATTTCGGTCTGCTAAAATCTAAACTTTAATTAAAAAAACTAACGTTAAATTTTGAACAATATACTAAAATGAAATAAAAATTAAACTTTAGGTATGGTTTTGAAACAATTGAAGGTTTAGGTACTAAAACGAACAAACTTAATAGTTTAGATAGTTTAGGTACTAAATGTGTAATTTACCCTTTATTTTTTTTAATTGTATAAAAATTAGATAAAGTACACAAATGCTCCCCAACTATAGGGTACTGCTTTATTAAGTCTATTGACTATTAAAAGTTACAAAATAGTTCTTCGACCATGAAATGTTACTTTGTTAAGTTCCTCAACTATTATAAGTTACAAAATGGTCATCTGACTATTTATTATGTTCTAAACTCATCATTTTTCGTTAAAAAAATAGCGATTGTCTAAGTTAGACGCTAACATGATGGTTGAGATATGGTAGTCGTTTGAGATTATGGGATCACATTTTATCATATCACATTCAATATATTAACATTCAACTAAGAATATCATCAATTTTTAACGAAAAAGAATGAGTTTAGAAATAATGAATACTCAATTATTTTATAACTTTTAATAGTCGTGTGACTCAACAAAGCAATACTTTATAGTCGAATGACCATTTTGTAACTTTTAATTCAAAGGTCTTAAAAAATAATATTCTATAATCAGAGATCATTTTTATACTTTATAAAAAAATATAATATTCATATCAATATTAAATCATTAAAAACTCAACCTCACCTATCCTATATTCATCCCTAAATTTAACCTTAACTTTTTACTACATTAACCTTTAAATCTAGTTTTTTACTACTTACATGACCCCCTTGTATAATATTTCGTGGCACAACATAAGAGTGCAACATCATAAATTTTTTTAAATATTAAGTTAATGACCATGTGGAGTGTGGATCATAAAATTCCAGGGACCAAATTGAATTTTTTTACCAAATGTATGAACTGAAAGTTACTTTATTCATAATTAAATGTGAAAACTCGAATTCGTTCCTCAAATTTCAATCTTGAAATTTTGTATCTTTCCATTATAGCTGTCAGACATTACTAGACCAATTAAAATCCAAAAAAGGAGAAAAATTTCCCCCCGGAAAATAAAAAGAGAAAAAAGATAAAATAAGTGTGCACACACACAGTGTCTTTCTGAAAACTGAGAAAGCTCAGACTGAACGAGGCAGATAAGTGTGTAAGAATAAATTATAAATAAATATAAATGATAAAACATTCAGATGTCTTGATTGGAATATTAATTGGTATCTAATTTCGCTTTCTTGCTTATCATTTCATCCTCCACTTGTGTAAAATTTGATATTTTCTGTTTTTTTTCTTTTTCGTGCTCTGTTTTTCCCGGGAAAGTTTACTTTTTCGTATTTGTTTGTAAGTATCGAGAACTTAAGTTGTTTTATACTTAATTTAGCTGGTTTTGGGTTCTGGGTGATCTAAATTTTGATTGAAGGATTGAACTTTGAATGGTAAAGATCAAAACTGTTTCTTCATAGTTGATGAAACAGAGCATGGTTCAGTTTTCTCGAGAAAAAAAGAAAGAAAGAAAAAACGTGTTGAATTGAATCCCATTTTTGGCCTCCTTAAATTTTGCTGAGAAAAGTGTAATCAACAAATCCAACAGTGGGCCAAAAAACAGTTGAATTAAAAAACGTTTTCGGCTAAAAACAACAAGAATCTTTCTATTTCCCCCCTTAAATTTTGCTGTCCAAACGTCAATAATCTCGCTCTTAGCTCTCTTCTATTACCCCTTGATTTCTTCTACTGTTCATCATCGTGAAGTTAGAAGGGGGAAAAACCTCACTTTCTCTTTCTTTGTTTTCTTGTCTTTCTCTCCGTTTGTTTCCCGGGAAAATCATGAATTTCGACACAGCTTCGAAGCAATCAAATCTCGACCGCTTCCTTCAATGCACGACACCCACTGTCAGATCCCAGCTCATTCCAAAGGTTAGAAAATTCAATCTTCTTCTTTTCTCGGCACAGTTTCAGCTTATTATACAAATTGTGATGTTGATGTTCATGTTTCATTATAATAGATTGAGATGGTGAGCCTGAATCGATTATGGCATCCGTCGGAGGCGGAAAAGATCGAATACTTCACACTGAATGATCTGTGGGATTGTTACGACGAATGGAGCGCTTACGGCGCCGGTGTTCCGATCACCTTAGACGATAACGAAACCTTAGTCCAATACTATGTTCCTTACCTGTCTGCAATTCAAATCTTCACCAGCAATTTTAGGTAATAAAGATCGGATTTTTAACGACATTGATTGGTGAAATTGAAATATTTCTTCTTCTTTTTGCAGGGACGAGATTGAATCCGGTGATGGGGAGAGATCGTCGTCGGATTGCTTTAGTGATTCGTGCAGTACCGATGAGAGCGAGAGCGATAAGTTGTGGCGGTCCGACGGATGTTGCTCCTCCGAACAAGACTGTGTTTCGCATTTTAATAACCGTTTGGGGTACCTTTACTTTCAGTATTTTGAGACATCAACACCTTACGAAAGAGTTCCACTCATGGATAAGGTACTATGTGAGGGAAACACCCCCCCCCCCGCCCACGCCGGGAAACCGGTCCGACTTGTAATGTTCGACACGAACATGTTCGTTATATTCTCATTTCATGAGGCATAAGTTCTTGCTTTTTTTCATTTGGTATTGTCCCAAAGAAGAATATAAAGTTTTAAAAGTTGTGATGATTGAGTTGAGAGTTGAGACCACTGCTTTTACAATGTGAAAGCATGTTAGATTCCATTGACACTTTTGTTGTTCGATCTTAATCACAGATTAATGGTTTTTCTCGAAGATACCCTGGTTTGACGTCGTTGAGGAGCGTCGATCTTTCCCCGGCTAGTTGGATGGCAGTTTCTTGGTATCTCTTTCTTTTCATCCACTAACCAGATGCACACAGAACTTGAATAGTGAAGGGTTTATAATTCTTGTTGTGTATGTCGGAAAATTTTATATATCTGTAATCCGAGCTCGTACGGAGTTATAATTTTCTTCTTGTGTTCAACTTCTGGTGAAAATATACAAAATTTGATTATTGACGAAGGATTATTATTTGATTATCAGGTACCCAATTTATCATATCCCAATGGGAAGGACCATAAAGGACTTTTCCACATGCTTCCTTACTTACCACACACTATCTTCTTCTTTCCAAGGTTTGATCTTTCACTTCATGTATATGTGTGTCTGTGCGCGGGTGAACGCATACTTATGTTTGTTTTACCGGTGTTTTTCTCCTTTTTGGTGTAGAAACGGATGTCGAAGAAGATGGCGATAGGGTTGTAAAGAACCGAAAGGGAGGGGAGGGAATCTCTCTTCCACCCTTCGGTTTGGCAACTTACAAGATGCAAGGGAACGTTTGGCTCTCACCCGCCGGATGCGGAGGGGACCAAGAGAGGTTGTTGTCACTTTTGAGCATCGCGGATTCGTGGCTGAAGCAACTATGCGTCCAACACCATGACTTCGACTACTTCTCGGGTATTCGACGTGGCTAAAAGCTCCCATGGGGGTTGCATTGAGTACTTAGCACTTGTTATCAAAAAGCCTACTAGGATGGTCTCTACGCGTTTAGTTTTACCTGTTTTTAACGCAAGTTCTTGTGGGATTTTCTTGGAAAGAAATGGGTGAGATTTTGAAAGACGATGAAGTGAGACTCCTGAGCTTTTGAACACTTTTTTATGGCTTGTATGATATGTTTTCTTTGACCGTAGTTGAAAGTTAATGATAGTTTTCACAATTTCCATGTAGCAAATACAAATTGTTTTGGTTAAATTACATAAATGGTAATTAGATTTCGAGAAAATAAAAACATCTCCAAATTATTTCTGTAACTTGAGACCACAGCTATCCTAGGCTTGATGGTGCTGAAGGGATGCATTCAAGGCGTCATCTTCCGCGGCGGCCGATTTAGGGCGCGAATCTGTGTCGTAAACCATAGGAAAACCCTGCCCTCGTTTAAGAATTACATATTTGCGAGTCCTTTTTATGAGTCAGGTAATAGCCATCAGATTGGGAACATCCCCATCATTCGAGGAAACGTATACTAGAATGTCTAAGTGAGATTTTAACGGCTCTGGTCGGAGAACTGTTGAAACCGGAGCTACTGGTACAATAAGTTGTATGCTGGTAAGTCCTGTATCCTACACACACTATCCAAATACAGGTCTCTCTCCAGCTGTGAGCCTATTGCTTGTAAAACCTTCTGCAGGAATGAAATGTACAGTCATAATTGATATCAATGCAATATAATAACATTCAAGAAAGTAATTTTCGATGAACCGACATTACATGGAATGAAAAACCGGGACGGAAGAGAAGAAATCCGGCAAAACTTCGGGAAGTAATGTGAAAATTGACAATAAAATACTGCACAAAATCATGGCTGGTGCAGCTCACACATGAAGATGCCTTCATTTTGTATTTGTATGCATTAGTAAATAATCCAATCTTCTTGCAGAGATCTAGCCATTTCAAGAACTAAAAACGAAAGGGAAATCTCACCGGGTATGTTCGACCATAAAACAGCAAGTTTTCGAGGGAGATAAAACCACACGCCCTGACGAGAGAAGCTCATTTTAGACAACATAAGATAGACTGACAAACTCGAGAAGAATCGATCAAAAGAATTGTACCGAAAATCAGTGGAAGGATTAGGGCCTTGCCACCCCATTTCTTTCCATTGTTGGGAGACCAATCCTTTCCGAGCAACATTAGGAAATGCAATGTGCCATAGTTCTCTAAGGAGGTGTTTGGATGAGGGAATGTGGGATTCCTATGGGAATGAAATCCACATTCCCCCGTTTGGTTAGCCCGGGAATCCCATTCCCAGTAATATAAGATTATCAATAGTGGATTTTTTGGGATATATTACCGGGAATGTCATTACCTCCCTTTCCTTAGGTATTGTTTGATTACCGACGTTTTAGATTAAAATGCCCTTAAATTTTTTTTTTCTTTCAAAAATATACTTTTTTTGTCATTGAATAATAAAAATTCTATGAATGTTAAATTACAAATTTATCCTTAAACTATTTTAGATTTACAAAAAAAAATCTATAATTAAAATTTTGTATGAAGTTCAGGGGTTAAAATAAAATTTTACCCTTTCATTAAACCTTTTATATTTTTTAATTTTGTAAAAAAATTATATAAATTTTATGAATTTAAATTTTTTAAAGAAAATATATAAATATTTTCCAACTTGTTAAAAAAACAAATATATAATAAATACAATTTGATCAAATATACATTCCAATAATCTTTTATTCCTTTAACCAAACACAATATTCTTATATTTCTGCTAAGCCAACCAAACACAAAATACAACATTCTCAGTAATCCTATTCCTTAGTAATCTTACATTCCCACTGGTAATCTTACATTCCCACGGGTAATCTTACATTCCCATTGGTAATCTTACATTCTGTGAACCAAACGCATCCTAAGAGATTCCTGTGTCACCAAGGGATTATATGTTCGAGTAATGCGTACGGTTCACTGATAGACTAAACAAAGTCGATATTTATGATGCATATACCGAGTCCGATCAAATTTAGTAACTATAACGTCCGGGAGACAACATGGACTATAAAGGAATGAATAAATTACCTGATGGTCAGGACGAGTCTCATCAAGAGGTACCTGTACTTGCTGTTGAATCTTCTGAAGTCTTTTATTCCTATTACATGGTAAGATGTGGGAGATTATCGCAGTCAGCCCCGATATGTCGAGTAACATTTTCGATTACCTGAATAGGTGTCAAAGGGTACTAGATAAACCCCTCCTATCCACAATTGCAATCCAGCCATAGCATTAGCTGCAACAGTTAAAATCAAGTAGTAAACAGAATGATATTCACTAGTCAAGTGTTCTGCTTAATTTCTCTGTTCGGGACATGTGAGACTCGGGATCGGGGAGAGGAGAAAACAAGCACATTGAGCATACAAAGAAGCAATCCTATTCAACCGATTACCGCGAGACATCAATGTGAAAGATGCAGAGCTCAAGGTAGCAAATGTAACCCATGGGAGATCAGACATTCCCACTAGTGAAGGTTTACAATTGTTCTCCCTCTATTTGGCTACATATGCTATGCCACATTGTTCATTTTCCAACATCGAATATCGCTCGAATAAACGTATAGTTTCGAATCAAACAAACGAAGACAGTTAGGACCCTTTCAATCTATTTCTAAAGTGAAATTCAGCCGAGATGGATACAATTAGACTTACTAAAACTTCGAGTGAACTGCGATATTACACGAGTCGAACTGGATGTCCATTCCGACTCCTACGTCTCCCTTCTTTTGTCTCCGGTAAACTCGGTCCTCGTCGACCTACATTCGGATTTTAATCCCAGTATACAGTACTAAATAGTTTGCTTAGAATAAATGCTGGCCTGAGAAAAACTAATCAACTCGTTAAAGTTTCAAATTTAGAGGCTAAATCATTGTATATTTAGCTTTGCACATAGAAAAGCACAGAAAATCAGACATTATCAAATATCATATTCATAAGCTGATTCGATGCTGCTCGAACTCGAGCGTCAGATACATGAACATGGGATATGATCCCAAGTATCCTCCAAATATATGGCAAGTCTCAAGGAAAGTCCAACCATATTCGTATCCAACACTCACATCCTAGTCCGAGCGCTGATTCAATTTAAATATTACAAGTTAAGGGGAAGAGATACATAAACTTTATTATAAAAAATGCAAACATAAAGACGTATACAAATAATCCCCGATTATTGAGTGTTGTCTTGTTGAGTCACCCAACTATTCATATGTTCCAAACTTATCATTTTTCAGTTAAAAAATTAGCAGTCATCTGAAATGTACGTTAAACTATTGATGAAAATATGAGAAAATTTGATCCCAAAATCGTTTGAGTTGTATTTTATTGATTGACTCTCCGTTTATATTATACCGTTGAGCAATTGCTTAAAATATTATGTTATCGAGTCAGTGTTTGAAAGCAACGACGATGACTATAGACATCATTAGAATATAATTTTATCATATCCCATTTAGTATGTTAATATTTAGCTCAAACGCTGTCAACTTTTTAATAGAAAAATGACGAGTTTGGAACATATGAATAGTCGAGTGATGATTTTACAACTTTTAATAGTCGGAAGATTCAACAAAACAACACCATATAATCAGTGGCTATTTTGTAATTTCTGATAATCAATAGACTCAACAAAATAATATCTTACAATCAGAGGACCATTTTTGTACTTTACCCTAATATTTTATCATAAAACTTAGACATTCAAGGTTTAACTTAGAATTAAAAATTAGTTATATATAATCGGTTGTTTAACAATTGAACAATATTCACTCAGTTCTTATATCATGTGAACAATTAATTCTTTTTTCTTTAATTAATTTATGTGATTACAAGTGATAATATTTATTTTAAAAATTCTCCATCATTTAACGACGAATGCTCAAATACCCGGCAGTTGTCGCTACTCAATCATGATCTATAAGTATACTAATCATTTATTTAACCACACTTAATTTGTGTCTATTAATTCTTGAATCAATAGATTTATAAGTGTATTATTCATTTTTATAATTTTGTGTACGATTGATATATGCTATCAAATTTATTTTTTAAGTTAAATTGATATTTTTTTAAAGTTTTAGGTTAAAAAATTATTGTCTTCTTTTTTTTTAAAAATATTTAATAGTTTGTAATTTTATAAATCCGATCCGATTAGAAATTTAATAACCTAATTTACTTTCCTTAATTGTATTTAATGCTTTGAAAGTAAACCTTACGTACCCACTTATATTAAACTATGGGTAAACTATAACAGTGACCATCCAACTATAACATTTTTTTTATTTTGACCATTATTTTTGAATTCTTGTCAATCAGATCATCCAATTATTTAAATACATTCAATCAAGCTATCTGCCGTTAACATTTAACGAAAGTGTTGACGTGTTAATTAAAAATTGATATAATTACACATTTGATCCTCAATATTTATACATTTTTTCAATTTGATAATAATATTAACTTAATTTAATAAATTTAACCTCTAATTAGATGGTGACATGTGTCACTAGCATATTGAAAGATATATTAATAATTTTAATTATTTAACTTATTTTATATCAATGTCACCACCTGATTTGCTGCTGGGGGAATCGAACTTCAGAAGCTTCAACAGCAAGTACAGGTACCTTTTGATGAGACTCGTCCTGACCATCAGGTAATTCAACAGGAGTTGGGGGTTGGAGGTTTGATTCCCCAGCTGCAAGTTGTAAAATTTATACATTTTGTATCATATTAGGTGGTGACACGTGTCACCACCTAATTGGATATAAAATAAATTAAATTAAATAATTAAAATTGATAATATATCTTTCAATATGCTAGTGACATATGTCACCATCTAATTGGAGGTTAAATTTATTAAATTAAATTTAAATTATGACCAAATTAAAAGAATGTATAAATATTGAGTATCAAATGTGTAATTGTACCAAATTTTTTAACTGACACATCAACACTTCTATTAAATGTTAGCGACAGATAACCTAATTGAATGCATTTAAATAGTTGGGTGGCCTGATTGACAAGAATTTAAAAATAGTGGTCAAAATGAAAAGGGGCTATAGTTTGGTGTCACTGGTATAATTTACCCTCAAATTATTAACCTAACTTAGGGGTTGTTTATTTATTTCATAATTATTAAGCGCTGAATGATTCAAATACTGAATGATTCAAATGCTAAATGATTCAAATACTGAATGATTCAAAAGCTTTGAATGGTTTGGCTCTGAATATGACATGTTGTTTGATATCTGGCTCTGAATGATTCAGCTACTGTTTTGCTGAATCAGTCAGCACTGTTTTACTGAATCAGTCAACACTGAATCATTCAGAGGTACGAAACAAGCGCGCTAAATACTGAACGGTTCAACATTCAATACCGAATGGTTCCATTAAAAGGCAAACAAATAACCCCTTACTTTTTTTGATCCAACGTAAAGAAATAAACTTACCCATTATGAACAAGTTTGATAATATGTCTTGATTTGTGCCAATAATGCTCATTTTTCTATCGACTCAAATCAAAAGAATGTTTTGCTATAGATTAATATTATTCTTTTTATTTTAAAATTATTAAAAAATATATAAATTAATTATTGATATTAAAAGTTAAAAATATAAATAAAAAACATAAATACGTATAATTTTAATTTCAAAAATTGATTTTTTCCATCTAATAATCTTAAATAATAAAAAATTTAATGAATTTTATGTAAAGTAATTTACTCATATCTTAATATTATATATATTATGAATGAAACCTTTAGCAGCCTCTGCTTAATCCCCGCCATTATTTTTGGTATTTAATTACGTATGAGACCGAGAACCGAAAGCGATATGAAATAAACGAAAAATAAAAATACTAAAATGATTTAAATTCAATTGTTAATTTTTGAAAGGGCTAAAAATGTAAACTTTTCATTTCGCTAAAAAGGCTATTAAATTGAATTATTAATGTTCAATATAGGCTAGAAGTAAATATACCATTTAACGTGTCGCTATTTTATTGGAAAATGAAACATAGTAAAATTTATTTTTAATTAAAATTAAATCAAAACTAATAGTGTATAAATAACGAGAACTTGATCCTTGAACTGTTCCATGGGCAAGTTCAAGTTATGAATCAAGCTCTGTAGGTCAGTCTTACAAGTTAAATTATACATACATACACATACATATATATAGAAATTATTTCAGAACATTGAGTGAAAGTCGTAATATATCTAATCAAACTCGTCATTACATATAAAACACCATCCCCTATCCAAAAAAAGGAAAAACATCATCCCAGCAGAGAAGATGTAGCATCTCTTAAACTATTACTACAACAAGCCGAATTTGTATATACAGACATAGAAGGGTAAGATCAGAACAGAAGAAGACATATAAGCATGCAGCAGAAGAGGAAAAAGCTGAATCTGTCGAGTGACTTATAAGCTCGCATGATGTGCCTTCTGATTCTAGGGCTAGTGCTTCCCACAAGATTGTATGAATTCGGGTACGCGTATAAATTCGTAATCAAGTCTCCGAATACCCTTGTCGTGTGTACAGTTTCACCGAGCATTCGCACCAGTGGATCCATTACACTCGTTGTTGTGCCACCGGGACTACGCACGGGCGAAAATAGATAATCGTACACTGGCGGTTGATACGAGTAAGGGCCACCGGGACTACGCATCGGAGAAGGTGGATAATCGTACACTTGCGGTTGATATGAGTAAGTGCCACCAGGACTAGGCATCGGAGAAGGTGGATAATGATGCATTTGATGTGCTGCAAATTGTGGACTAATTGCAGTATTAGGTGTTCTTGGTATGCCAAGATCAGGACCAAGAGGTCTCTTTGGGATGGCTACGCCAAGTTGAGAAGCCATGCTTTTCGACCCTTTGCTTGTCTGTCCCCGGCCGTAAAGCGGTACAAGCGTCGAATCCGAAACATTGGCTTTGCATACAGGGCACTGCGGCTGTTTTGGGGTTTGGTTTTCAGTGGAGTTGGACTGCAATTGAAGCCATCTGTAAATGCAGGGCCAGCAATATATGTGCCCGCACAGCGTCACCACAGGATCCTGCACGGTGTCGAGGCAGATATTGCAGTTGAAGCTGGTCGAATCATCCGAGCCCGTGACTGCTTCCGGTGAATTCATCCACTTCTCCATGGAATCTTTACCTTCTGGTGATCGGTTTCGAACTCCGGCTCCATCAACGTTCTGCTCAATGTTCATGATCAATTGAAAGAATCTGCAATATGCATGGAAAAGGAATCAGATAAGAATTATTGGAACATAATCATTGCAACTGAAATTATTGTATTTCTTATAGTGTTATTTTGTGTCGGAGATCGAAGATTATTCCGCTGTTGACTCTCTTTTAGTCGATATGGGAGTAATCTCCGATCTCTCTCAACGTGATATCATATATTCTTGGAACGCATGCCTACCGTAGTTGACCTTATCGAAGAATTAACCTCAACATTAAAGTAAATCAATTCCATAACACCATTAATCTTTGAAAGCCAAAGCTCGGCAATGAAAAAAAAAGAACGAACGAAACAATTTCTCTTTCGGTTTTGCAGATCAAAAGCACTTGAAATTACAAATTTCAGGAAAAAAAAAAACAAAAGCAGAGTAGATCATTAACAGAGCAACAGTTTTTCCAAAGCTACTGCAATTTAATCAAACAAACTTAGACAACACTCGAAATTAATCATAAATCAACGATCGACCAGCGAAAAAACCTCAAAAATTCAAAACATAATCACACCAGAAAAAGAAACAAAATCGAATCACGGAATAAATGAACGTATCGAAGTTTGGATTGCATACCGGCTGGTTCTCGAGTCACTTTTAGGTGAACTTGATTAACAAGAGAGCAAATTCCTTCTTCCTTTGAAGAGAATCTGATGAACTTGATTTAAGCTTGGAGAATCTGTGGAGATCAAAGAAGGTATCCGGCACTGCTTTTATATCCAGAAGAAGAATACTTCAATAAATTTCACTAAAATAATAGTTTATGTTGGATTAAATTTATAAGTAAGCTGGTGTTTCTCATTAGTCATTACCCAAAATTAACATTAAGGGTTCGCTTGTCTCACTGGAATATAAGATTACGTTTAAGAATAAATTATCAGAACGTAATATTATTTTGAGAATATTGTATTACTTTATTCGGTTTATTTAGTAGGAATGTAAAATTACAATATTTAGTCGGATGAAAATAAGATTATTTGGATTTATATTTTATCAAATTATCCTTATGATATATATTTTTTAACAAGTAAAACTTTAATATTAAATTATAAATATTTGAACGAAAATTTATAAAATATTTTAATTATTAAACTATCTAAGTTTAAAGAAAAAAATACATTTAACATATAATTTATATAATTAGTATATCAAACTTATAATTTTAAATAATTTTCATAAATATCATATTTATTTATTTAAAATATAATATAATATGAAAAATAATATTGTGATATCGAGTGGAGAAATATATTAAATTTTAATGTATAAGATCTATTTTTTTAATAACTCAACATTAAATATTACTTTAAATGATTACATTTTTACAATAATAATATTTTCACCTCATAAAATTATAAAATAATTAATTTACTAAATATTAAAAATATAAAATAATTTTAATTACTTAAATTTATTAATATTTTATTAAATTAATTTTTTTATATTATTATTATTAAGTTGATAATTTTGAGTAAAACACGAAGAATAAGAATTAAGAAGGATTTTTATGGAAAAAAATATTATTTCAAGGGTAGTTTTATCGAAAATGGTGTGAATTGTTTATTACATAAAAATTTGAAAGTAATGACATTCTTACCATTTTAATCCAAAAATACTACTATTGATAATAAATTATTACCTGATCTTTTCCATAAACCAAAAAAGGGAATATAATTTCGGAAAATATCATTTCCCTTAACGCCCCTAAAAGTCTTAAGGTTAAATAATAAAATAAATATATTTATGTTTTCGTTTTGTTTTTTGTTTTGGATGAAATGTTGAGATTTTATTGAGAATTTTCTTATATTTTTAAGGAGATGTTCGTGAAATATTATCGTTAAAATAGTTGATTAAATTCTTAACAACTAATATTTGTAGCCCATTCAATATGAATATATAATTTTATTTTTATTAGTTAAAATAATAACATAATAAAAAATATAAAACGATTAATATTATTATACTAATTTCTAAATATATAAGGAATAATTATATTGGTGTACAAAGAAATTATTTGAATTCTATATTTAATTTTTTTTTAGATGATTTGAACCAGACATACAAAAAAATGAGTATTCAAATCAGATAACTTAAACTTTAATTTTGGATTATCCGAAAATCTTTTAAAAATTTAACCATAAGAGTTTAAAGAACTTAAACCTCGGAACTTTTAAGTTTGAAGTACTTGCCAAGGGTTCTTACAATTAATTTTAGGGTAAACTACATATTTAGTCACCTTATTATTCGTGTAGTTCTATTTTAGTTAATTAATTATATTTTTTAAAAGACATAATAACAAAATTATCCCCAACAATTGTACAAATAGTCACTTTACCCCTTATCCTTTTTTGAGTATTTTATTTTGGAGCAAAATGCCCTCTGAGTGGATGCAAATCATTAGTTGACTAACGGTCAATGCTTCCTATTGATGTGGTAGGTCCATATGTGATGACACATCATCAAAAAAAATATTTTTAAGCTATTTTAAATATACTTTTATAATTGTATATGTAATTAATTATTATTATAGTTTACTGCATCACACATGGACTTACCTCGTCTGTATAAAATATTGACAATTAGTCAACTAACGATTTTCATCCAACCATAGGGCATTTTGTTCCAAAATGAAACATTAGCGCTAAAATATTCTGAAAAAAGGATAGGGGCAAAGTGACCATTTGTGCAAATATTGGGGTAATTTTGATACTATATCTTTTTAAAATCATCACTAAACTTATGTTTTTATTCTATTATGGTCAATCGATGTTAAAAGATTAATGATGATGTTGATGTGTCACCATAAAATAATATCACCTCATCATTGAAAAAATAAAAAATACTATGTCAATAATTTTGTTTATTTTTAACAACGTGTGATTAAAACAGAATAAAAATATAAGTTTAACGATGATTTAAAAAAAATTGGATTACTAAAACAAAATCTATGAGAATAATTGAATAGATAAATAATTGGGTTACAGCAAGAAAAATCAAGAGTCAAGACCCCATTCATCTATTGACATGATTTTCTATTATTTATTAATTCCATATTATAAGTATATTTGAATATTAAAGATATAAATGTATTATTATATTAATTTAATAACCCTCACTTCAACAATTCTATTATCAATTTAATGATGGTGACGAGATTTATACAATTTTATAATTTTAGTAACCAGATTTATATTTTCTTCAATTTGATGACCAAAATAAAATATACCCCATAATTTGGTGTTTAATTGAGTAGTTTACCCTAATATTTTCCATGAGGTCTTGGAAAATAGGAAGTAAATATTTGGTGCAACATTTTTCTTTGGAATGGAAGCCGCTATTATTATTAAAAAAAATGAAAATATTCAAAATTACAATAAGAGTTTATAACTATCATCGTAAATTAAATACATAATTTGAATTTTTCTTATAACATTAAAATTAGTCACTTTGGTTCATATAAGGATTATATATGGAAAATGTTAAAAACTCAACCAAGAGACTTGAACAAAAATAGATACGAATAAATCTGATTGCATCCGCAAACGAACCACAAAAGGGAATTAAGTTAATTAAAGACCACCGATAACTACAGATCAGAGCCGAGCGTTGTGAGAAACTATCCACAAACACAAAATCATGCATCCAAATTCAATCTAAAGGTCCATAGCAGAGAAGACTAACAAGATTTCAAATAAGCGTCATCTTGATCAGTCGTGACGTCGTCAAATTTAACCCTGAGAAAACATAAATAAAAGAACGGACAAACGATCGAGAAAAAAAATGAAAAACGTGCCACAAAGACAGATATAAGGTTGCAACACATACATAATTATTCTTATTAAAAAAACAAAAGTAAAAACAAAGAGATAAAAAACCGACGGTCAATAACCAACATTAAAGTAAGTGTCACCACCAACTAAAAAAATTGAAGAAGAGAATAAATATGATATATAAAAACGATACAAACTCGAATGAAAAAAAAATAAAGGTGAGAGCGGCTTGGGTGCAACATTATTAATATACATTATTAGATTTTTCAAAATACTTTGATATTGAATATATTAATTTTGTTTTACGACTTTTTAAAACGATGATGATTTTTTTTTTTTTGAAAATTCCTATTGGTATTTTGGAATTTGACTACCGCATTTTTTTTAAATTAACATCTTATCAATGCCATTTTTTAATATTATATATTTCTAAAGTGTTATTTAAAAACATTAATTAACAGATGTTACACTGCACTTTTCCAATGCATTATTGTATTATACAATTAGAGCTTAACAACTACATTTTTTATTATTTTACTCATCCTTTTCATTTATAATATTTTGAAGACAATTGGGTCTCTTTTATAATATAATGTCATTTTTTTATAACAATATTTTCTTTTTGCACTCTGCATGCAATTGAACGTGGACTTCAACTCAATAAAATTTGACTCGTGACTTTCCTATATCCCATGATTTCACGAGGCATTATCATATACATGTGTAGATTTCCCACTTAATAGCTAGTGGCCATTGTTAAAAAGAGGAAAATATATGTCAATGCTTTATTTTTATTAAAAATTTGTTAGAGACTGCTAAAATTTTTTATTCAATAAAAAATTTTATGATGCCATTTATTTGATAAAAATATTTTAAAAGAAAAAAATAATGACATGCGATGGATGCAGATGTTTTAGAGTAGGAATGGACCATGATTTTATGTTAAGGAGGCGAATTTAAAATTTCAAGGGGTGAACTTGAACTTATAAAATTTTAGGGGGCGAAAATAGATTTTCAATAGAAAATACATAGAATAATCTAAAATATATAGTAATTTTAAAATTTCAGTGCGACTTCCCCCATTCGCCCCCTCGATCCATCCCTATTTTAGAGGAATTTTTTTAGAAAAATAATAAATATAACTCTCTTTATAAGAATTTCACTTGCAATGAAATTTTTTCTATATCTAAAAAATGTAAAATTTATATGTTTCATAACAAAATTGAAATATATGTTAAGTAATTATTAATGCATATAAAACAAACTTTTAAGATAAATACAAATGTGTGTACATGTACAGAGGCGGACCCAGGAGCCTTCTTCAGGGGTTGCAAGAGTCCCAGGGGTGGCACTTTTGAGGGGTGACACTTGGATTAGGGGTGACACTTGTGGAGGGGTTGCTTGGGATACCCCGGGCACCATGGAGGTCCACCCCTGGATGAGGGGTTGCCCGAGATACCCTGGGCTCCATGGAGGTCTGCCACTGTACATGTACACATATTGGAAAGTATAATGAAATGACAACCAAAAGAAAACAAACATAAATCCAACTAGCTAGCTGCCACTCACAACATACATATATATTACTCCCTCCTACTATTTACTAAAGTGGTTTCTAATCAATCTTTTAAAACTTTAATTATAATTATCTTAAATAAGAAAAATTTATAATAATATGCATTAAAAATTACCCAATTAAATATTTTATATATTTATTTTATATATTTTTAAAGATAATAAAATTTAAATGATATGAAATTAAAATTGAAAAAATAATAATAATAATAAATAAAAACAATTTTAATAGAGTATGAAAAACTGTAAATTTAGAGATAATGTGATCCATACAATTTAAACTCTTCAATCATTTTGCAAACACTTCAATCATTTAATTACACTGATAACATA